GGGTGAAGCCGACAAAAGACTGAAAACAAAACTGTTCCTATCTCTAAGGAAACACCGTCAAGGGTATTTCTATCGGAAACATTCGAGACAGAAGATTGTGGAAATCGATTTGATCGATTGTGGAAGCTAGTGGTGGATACATTCTAGAGAGCACCGAATGTTAAAAACCGGCGATTCATTCTGTTTGGCGGGAAGCAAAGAGAAACGGAAGGAATAGATCAAAATTTTCAAGGGTTGAGTGATCTGACCCGGGGGCGTGATTTTCGAGCGTTGAGTGATCTGACCCGGGGCCGTGAAATAATTACTAATGTCAAGGTCATCGCTGTAGTAAGCGTGACCATCCCGTATCGCCGTTGGCGAGGGTGTTTAATTTAATTCAAGTTGAGTCTTCTACGTCTTATCATACGTTACGTTAGTATGCAACTACGAGGATGCTCCCATATGATTGAGCTACCGCAGCTTGTATGCATTTTGGCACAACTCATCGCAGGAACCCCCAGTACCACGTGAAGATGTGTCCCAACGCTTCCAATTGTTGGTAATAGCAAAAGAGGAGATAGACATAGAGGTTTTACTGGCAGAAAATGCTCTCGCACACAATGTCTACCCGAAGATGTAAGAACGAGCAGGAACTGAAGATAACGCGGCACGAAATGAAAGAAAAGACCGCAATGATACAGGTTTTACAACCTGGAGCGACAAAGAGAACCTTCGGACAGACGCGAGAAGCGTCTAGACAGACGAGGATAAGGAAGTACCCGGGGTGAAGCCGACAAAAGACTGAAAGCAAAACTGTTCCTATCTCTAGGGAAACACCGTCAAGGGTATTTCTATTCGAGACAGAAGATTGTTGAAATCAATTTGATCGATTGTGGAAGCTTGTGGTGGATACATTCTAGAGAGCACCGAATGTTACAAACCGGCGATTCATTCTGTTTGGCGGGAAGCAAAGAGAAACAGAAGGAATAATTCAAAATTTTCAAGGGTTGAGTGATCTGACCCGGGGGCGTGATTTTCGAGCGTTGAGTGATCTGACCCGGGGGCGTGAAATAATTACTAACGTCAAGGTCATCGCTGTAGTAAGCGTGACCATCCCGTATCGCCGTTGGCGAGGGTGTTTAATTTAATTCAAGTTGAGTCTTCTACGTCTTATTATACGTTACGATAGTATGCAACTACGAGGATGCTCCCATATGATTGAGCTACCGCAGCTTGTCTGCATTTTGGCACAACTCATCGCAGGAACCCCCAGTACCACGGGAAGATGTGTCCCAACGCTTCCAATTGTTGGTAATAGCAAAAGAGGAGATAGACATAGAGGTTTTACCGGCAGAAAATGCTCTCGCACAAAATGTCTACCCGAAGATGTAAGAACGAGCAGGAACTGAAGATAACGCGGCACGAAATGAAAGAAAAGACCGCAATGATACAGGTTTTACAACCTGGAGCGACAAAGAGAACCTTCGGACAGACGCGAGAAGCGTCTAGACAGACGAGGATAAGGAAGTACCCGGGGTGAAGCCGACAAAAGACTGAAAGCAAAACTGTTCCTATCTCTAGGGAAACACCGTCAAGGGTATTTCTATCGGAAACATTCGAGACAGAAGATTGTTGAAATCGATTTGATCGATTGTGGAAGCTAGTGGTAGATAGATTCTAGAGAGCACCGATAGTTACAAACCGGCGATTCATTCTGTTTGGCGGGAAGCAAAGAGAAACAGAAGGAATAGATCAAAATTTTCGAGCGTTGAGTGATCTGACCCGGGGGCGTGATTTTGCGCGACAAGAAGGAGTCGATCGTGCGAGAATTGTTCATATTCAATATGACAAACGAAGATATTCGCAAACATTTGTGTATAGAAAAACTGTCAACAAGGAGATCAATGCCATTACCCTGGAAGTTGACTCTAACTCAACCATCGGAACAACTGTGAAGCTCGGAACATTATATGTTATAAATACGGAGGTTGAAGACACTTCGCGAAACATTACAAGAAAGTGGTAGTAAGCCATGTCGATGGTAATAATGATTTGACACAGTACGAGACAAACGTGATACGTGATACGTAGATTCGACGATAATAATGACGAAGAAGAGTTCAGAGTATTCGCAATCCGCAGAGTCAAAGATAAAATAGGAAACGAAAACCGGAAGTTATTGGATGTCACGGTGGGGAATAGCCAATGCAACTCAGAATTACAGATAGAGTGCCAGCTCAGTGTCCTTCAGCTCACAAAGGAAGTTACATGAGCTAAAAATAAGGTATAGATTTTTAGCAGTATAATCAGTACCAGTTAAAAAATCGGACACCGCCAAAATTTCTGGGCAAACGATTCTTCATGTTTGTGATATCAGTCGAACAAGAAACAGTAAATGCAGTATCTACGCGAAACGAATCGGACGATGAGCAGAAGTAATTGCCAGAGACCGCAACAGGGCCTTCGGATACGAAAACGTTCAGTCGACCTTCGGACGGATCGCATGCAATGGTAGATCGAGCAGCAAGTGCCAGGGATCACAGTGGTACCCTTAAAAAAATTCCAAGCCCAAAGGAACATAACGCAGAGGATACATACTTTGACCGCAAAATGTGAAAATTCTACTGGGGAGAGGACTTTATTCAAGACGACATAACTGGGTTAGACGAAGAAGTTTCTGGTCATTTCGTCGATGAAATGGACAAACTTCGTAGAATAGTAAGACACCCAAAGAGCGTGCCCTCAATTACCGTTATGCAAAAAATTACAATTGACGGCTTTCGAGTGCAAGCCCTATACCAGGGACTAGAGTCTACAATTCGAAATATTCGCAAAAACTCATTGCTGGAAAAAAAAATTTATGCTGCTCAAGTGGAACTGCAAAAATTGCGAGAGTCAATAGACTAAGCAGCTCACGAGCTATTGGATCGTATAGCCACGGATTCAGGCGCATCGGCGCCGATTACGCGACGAGTCCACATTGCAAGTCCCAACGTAAATTTCTACCAGCAAGATAAAACAAACGAAAATACAATCGGTAGAATCGTCGGTTTTAGTCCAGCAGCCAGAAGCGATAGAAAGCAATGCGAGCAAAAAAAACTCAACCGGAGGAACCAAAGGACGTTATTAATGGAACAATAGAATCGGCCAAAATCAGTGGCGAGTCTAGTGGCTCAATGACAAACGACGAGTTGAACATAGTCGAGCTGTCTGCTATCCGCATGACGGATGAAGACCAACGACCAATCCTCAAGGAGCTCGAAAAATTATAACGAACCGAATTTTTCATTGCAGCGGAAAAGATAAGAGGGATTAGACTCGCCTTTTAGTACCAAGGGTACTAATGATACCAACATTAAAGGAACTTTATAAACTGGATAGTTTAGATGCATTAAATATCTTTTAAAATAGTATATTGCTGTCAATTTGTCAAAAAAGGTCTTGTAGAGACTATGTACGACGTGACACCTGTAAACAGATCGTTCTTGGCCTAAGGGTGTTCTCCCATACGATTCAGACCTCTTTTTTGTAAATTTATTTAACTAACTCTGTAATTAGGTATCGTTTGGAAACAATTTATCATGATTATAATTATGATTATTCTTTGGCCCTTTTCAATCATTGCTCCACCCCACCCCAGCAGTTAAAAAATGATAGCCCAACAAACTGTGGTTTTGTCAATTGGGGGTTCATTCATTTACTGGGGGGGGGGGGGGGGGGCGATAATAAAAAGCAGTCGGTTTTTTTAGCTCATCAAAACGATGACTTTCTTGCAAATTGGGGTATTCTTCCTTTTTCCTACACCTGCGAGTCTTACTAGTAATTTTTTGTACTAATAGTTCGATTGTAACAAAGTTTGGCATGCGGACTAAATAGTCAACGACAAATATACTTGATCTCCTTATTTTACTTTGCAAAACCTCTCTCCGCCATAAACTTGAGGCTTATTTGAGGTGATAGGGGAAAGAAAAAGAGCTTGAAACTGTAGTTTTTGTGAAAAAGCAACGATACGATTGCTAGCAATAAGTTTAATTATACCAACCTAACTATTTTCTCCACAAAGACTCTCATAGCCTTCGGATCATAGGTTCGAACTGTTCGGCCAATCAGTGCCTTTTAAAACTTCCAAACCTTACTGATCTTCCCGCTCTAATCTTTAAAATATCTACAGCAGAGTTATGATTGGCTAGCATAATTTTCTGGCACTAATTCGTTCAATAATGAAAAACTCCCTAAGAAAATAAATCACGCATTCATTGTAAAACAAATTGAGTTAATTATTTTTTGCAACTTCTTCTGACTAATGGTATAAAGAACATTTTATTTAGTCGGTAGAAGATTTACAGTTGATTAATTCGGGCCATGGTAAAGATTGAAGTGTCTGTTTTGTTCACAAAGTGAAAAAGAAAGAAATTATTTTTGAAGAAATATTGATTTTATTCATATTAATTTTGAAAACTAGCTTGCCGTGTTTTAGCAATACAAGCCCAGTCGTTGGATCCTATCAGAACTTATTATAGGTTGGGAGTATCGCCCCATTGTTTGATTCCTCATGTTTTGCTAGTTTCTGAGAAATCGGCATTTTTATGATTTTTATGGGGAAAAGAAAGGCGGCCTTTAAACAGCTGGTCCACTGCTATTAGACCACCATTATACGCTGGGAAACTCGAGGATTGTAGTTTTTGAGAAAATTTTAAGAAATATGGTACTTTCTTGGACTTCATAACGTCGCTCACATGATCCCTGCCTGTTCCTTTGCAAGGGTGAAGTAACAATTATCAGCCCTGAAGAACTAATCCTCAAAAAACTACTGTAATTAGCTGATTTAAAAACGATCCTTTCGAAGCTGTGAAAAGAAAGCTCACTCCAAAAAGGCAACCAAAAAATATAAGTTTTATAGGAAACTTGGTAAGAAAGTGAGTTCTTTGTAGGATGGCATAAGCGAGGAAAAATGATATGTGGGATTTTTCAGTTAACTTAGTAAAAAACACAAGTTCTAACTAAAAAAGTTTCGACTACAGGAAAGATCTTTCGAGACGTAGATACAACACACTAAGCGAAGCTCTGAAAGAGACGGGACTGCCTAACAATATCAAACACAAACACCTTCTCACCCGCAAAGGGGAGGACGGAGGGGATGCATCGTCGTCAGGGGGTGGGGGCATTGTGAGTGAGGGGGACATTAAAGAGATGTTTGAGAAGTATGACGAGATTCAGATGGAGTTGATGGAAAAGCACTTGGCCAGGGATAAGAAGAAGGTCAGTGGTTATAATTAGTTATAACTTTCGAAAAACAAAAAACCTTCAAAATTCTTGTTGACTTTTATTAAAGTCGGCAGAATTGATTTTCTGAAGTTTCTCAAAGCATACGAAAGACCTATTTTGCCACTGAAATTTTTGGCCGCTGACCGATGTCGAGTAGTGTCTATGAAGGAAAACGACTAGCTGCAATTTCATTACGTTAAAAATCTTTGGCGTGATGGAACCTGATCTAAACTATATATTATGATTGGATAAATTAAATGTTTTACCAATGTAAAGTATTTAATATTAACCAATCATGATCCATCTAACTAACAACCCACTTATTTGTAAGTGCTGAAGTTACTTGTAATTTCAGCACCAGAGAGATTTGAATTTAACTTAGAAATTAGTTGGACTCTCCCGAGCACTTCAGCAGCCGCAATAAACCAGTATACCCTAGATCTATTGAGCCTAGCAGAGACTAGTTAAACAACCTGAGACTAGATAGTATAAGAGTAAGATTAGGATCGGTATTAGACTAAGAAGTTGCACGAATCTATCCGGCCGAAAATAAGATAGCGTGACGAGCAGACGGTGTACCCTATCCGAAATTACTCTATGAGTTATACACTCCAGTCCTAACTCATCTGGTGCGACCATAAGTCTCGAACAAGACCTTACTAGATTAGAATTAACCAAAATTAGATTAGAAATTAGACAAAAACATTTACAAAATGTTATACGACAATAATTTAATTGAAATGTCTCTCCGACTCAATAGATCAGAGCCAATATTCCGAACCATAACAGAACTACCCGGAATTGGAAGAAGACCTCGAACCAAAGACGACATACGACAAAGTAGAAACTTGCCGTATAGTTATATGATAGTTCGGCAAAAGCCAGAACAAACTTTTATATTTCGAATACTACTTGCAATGAATTTAGATTTCCATTTGCAAACATAAAACCTTGAAGTTACTCTTCAAAATCATTTCAGGCGCTAAACAAAATTAATATTATACAATAACGATTGATAAAAAGATCTAAGATCGTTTTCCTAAAACTCTGCAGTATTATACAAAACATGTTTAAAAAATATTTATTGGAAAATAAAAATAAAAATTAGTAGCATGACAATAATTGGTTAGTAATCATAAATCATCCTGTTGTTCCAGCTCCATCACCTAAAACATAACAGCAATCATCAACTCACTAATATCATCAAAACACTAAATCTTTCCTTTACACACATTTAAAACTTTATTAAAACTTAAATTCACTTAATTTTAAAATCAGATCATCAAGGCTTATCCTTGGATCTTAAATCATTTTCTACTTAATTAAATTTCAAATTTGATCATCAAGGCTTATCCTTGGATCAAACAGAACAACTTTGTTCTCCCCCACCCACTTAATTAGTGTCTAACGACCTCAAACGTCGATTCACTATCCAACCCTCTCTAAAAACCCAGGACTAATAGAAATTTTTACACAAAACTAATCATTCAAATTAGGATAAACAGTGAAGAACTTCGGTTATTCATCCTTCACTTGACCCCCCCTCTTAACAGACCCAGGATAAATCTTAGACTTAGTAAGTTTAAAATAGTATCTAACGAACTACTCGCGTTCTAATTATACCTGAACCTTGTGGATCGATTTACTATTCTCCAACCCTTGAACACAATCACTACCCCTAAGTAAGATTAAGTAAGTTAACACCTTAGCTTATACTAGTCACGAGAAAGTAAAAATCATTCTTCGGAATCGATGTACTTTTCTCTCCAACCCTGAACAAAAAGACCCAGGTTAAGCTAACCAAAAAATCGTAAGAACTAACAGTTTAGGAAAATAGAAATCATTTAACAACCTTTGCATCCGTCATTCTAAACCTTATGTCATTTAAAAACCTAGGAAATAAACAAACAATCATTTTACACAATTGTGAAATAGATAACAAAAAATACGACCTTGTAATCACACCTCATACACAAACAGTTGGATACATTCGCACAAAACGACAAACACTAAAGAGGAAAATAATAACTAAACAAAAACAAATAACACGAAAAAGATTTTCAAAAAACCGAAACGCATTTTCAGAATCAGAAACCAACAGTTTAGACGAACTTTACAAACTAAAAGAATCAATAGATAAAAATTACCCACTTCACGATCAATTATATTTTTCTGACTCAGAAACAACTTCAAATTCATCACAAAGAGGAAAAAGAAGAATAAAAAAACAGTACAAACACAAACCAGTACATTTATACAATTGGAATCAACCAATTAGACACATTAATAATTACATATTAACAGTCATCGAACGGAAAAATGAGTTCAACACACACCCCAGGTGACGAAACTCCAGACGATGATGAAATCTTTCCTTTTATAGTAGATGCAGATACTGATAGAGGACAACACATATTTTGTCAAAATTTACTCGTAAATTTATTTGAACCCGGAATCAGTCCATGTAAAACAGAGTTCCCCGATGTAAAAATCAAAAGACAAATCATAGATCACTATCTAAAAGATATATGCAACATAACACAACAGTATGGAATCTACTCTATAGAATTCACTTCACCAAACCATAATAATAGAAAATATACTATTCAAACAGACGATATTGATTTAGAATTTTCAAAAGTTTTTTCAGAATATATAAAAAGCATCCAATACCATAACTCACAAAGAGCAAACTCCATTTTCACCAATGAAGTTTTCGCAATAATATATAGTTATATTTCGATATTAGAAAACGAAATCCCATTAACAAATGTCTCACCGACAGAAACATCTAAACATTTAAGAGTACGACATGAAATCACACTACTCTCTAGTTATTTAAACATCATTAAAGAAAATTTCACGAAAGACGACGTTTCACAACATACCAAACACGATTTACAAAAAATTTTGGCATGGTTCATAATAGATTATTTCACACACAATATTGATTTAATTGCACAAGCAAGAAAAAATTTTAGACCCCAAAATTCGAACGATGATACCGCTATCACAGAACAATCAGATTATGTTTGGGACCCCGAATGGTCTCATCCCGCATTTATAAGCTTTCCACAATCAATCTCAAGTCAAGCAATAGGTACAATATCTTACATACGAGATTATGTAAGAGTAATACCATTAACAATTGATGCAACACCATTAAACTATAATACATTTTTACCCGATACACAAAATAATAGTTTAAACTCTACAGTCATACACAACGAAAACCTCAATGGAACTAGGAATCTTACTCAACAAGATATCCAGACACCATCACACTTCATAAATGAAGAAATTGTACACACAACAACTACACAACAAAGTATTTCACCAATACGCCCAAATTTAACAACACCAAGAAATACAAATCCTTCACAAACACAAGTAACCTTACAATCAACCGTTAAACCTTCGGTTGCTCCAAAATATTCACATATGGATTACCAAACATATAGACCCATGACAATACCATCAAAAACACGCAAAACATTCACTAGAAACAACTTTGCAGACCATAATTATAATTATACACATCCATCAAAAACAAATTATCAACCACAAAGGAATTTTAATCAATATACAAAACCTCGAAACTGGGATAACCCAACGGCCCAATATAATTCCAAAAATTTTCAACCAAATCCTCCACAGGATCGCAGTGAAAATTACCCATTTTTTCAACAAAATAAAAATAAAAAACAAACATCTTATCAAATGGATTATTTATCCTCAGATGATGATTTCTTACAACCAGATATATTTGCACAAAATACTCAAGAATATCGTAGACAAGGAATACAGAAAACATGTACAAATCATAGAAATTTTTCTCCACAAACAATAGATGCACAACATCAACAACCAATTCAACAACAAAATCTAATTAATACACAATCTTTTCAACCAATTCAACAACAAAATCCAATGACTGCACACTCGTATCAAGCATCACAAATGCAAAATGAGATACCACTCCCATATTATCTCCAACAACATGAAATAACAAGAAACCAACTTTCAAATTTTTCTCAAATGCCAAATGCAGCAGAATCATTACAAATGACAATGAATCCATACCTTATGGGTGGATCATCAATAACATCAAACAAACCTTTAATGGTTTTCACAGGAACAGACCCTGAATACTCTGTAGAAGATTATCTAAATGCAGTAACAGCAAATTTGATTTTAAACATTGGACCTGAACCAATTAATACGCCACTACACCAAAACTGGATACATCGACGCACAGCGTTAATACAAACAACCTTAGATGGCGCAGCCCAAAAATGGTTTTCAGTACTACCTCTAGAAATAAAACCAAACTGGAAAAGATTTACACAAGAATTTTCAAAAATGTTTGACTCCGAAAGAAACAAACAACAACAAAGAGTTTTATGTAATGAAATTCGCAGATTACCAAACGAAACCATCAAGCAAATAGCAGTACGAATCGAAACACTAGTTCGAAAAGCATATTCATTAAATAAACATGACTATAAAAACACAAAGATGACAGAAATCTTAATGATGACCTTAACACCACAATTAAGGAAAATAGCAATAAAAAAGAGAGCATCTCATCCTTCTTCAATTCGAGAACCCGATTTAGATTTTCGAAAACTAGTAGACAAACTAGAACAAGCAGAAATCACGATGAAACTAGAAGAAACGGAAAATCTGAAATTACAATACGTTAACAAAATTGAAACGACTCCCACTAATATTAATAATATACAGGAATCAGAAACAGACCTCGTTGAAAAAATCACTGAAATACTCAATATTTATGAAAAGAACCCGAACTTTAAAGGCAAACCATCTTTCAAAAAATGGTGTAATTATTGCCGACGATACGGACATAGTATTTCCGAATGTAGACAAAAACAGCAAGATAGTCAAAATAAACCTCAAAAATACAAAGAACCAAATAAATCATTCTATCAATACATGAAAAAAGATCAAAATTTACCGAACAAAACAGTTCA